TGAAAACTACTCCTTTATTTGTGCTTTCATTTCAGCTACGAAAGCTGGCAGCAGAATTCATGCAGGCACATCCTGTGTGTATGCCAAGTGCCCTGTTTTCCCAGTGTCTCACCTGGACATAGAGCTGTTGGTACAGCATAGGTTACAGGAAACAAAAGTCAGTTAACACTGCCATCTGCATGATGGATGTGCAGTGTGTTTATTTACAGTTAAGCATCCAATTTAATGTTCTTTGTCAGGGAGGAAAAAGGCATACGAGTCCTTCTGTAACTTCCTGTAACTGTCAGGTGGTTCATACATGTGACTTCGGTGGTCAGAAGTTTTCTATAGCCTGAAACTTTTCAAGATACTTTTGCATTTAATTTCATACCAGCCTTTGGAGTCTTTAAATAGAGAAAGCCATGGGCAGTGTTTTGCATTCCCCATGGTATAACAACACAGTTGTGTAAATTCATTTTCCTTCTGCATTAACGTCTTTGCGTTCTACTGCAAGGTACTGCATTGTGAAAGCAGAATCTGATGGCATTTTCCTGACCAGTGAGTGATGTGACATCAGATGCCATGTTTGGTTTGTAGAGCTCCTTTAAGAGGCTGTTTTGCAGCGCTAAAAGGTGAATGACAAGGCCAGCAGAATAGTGAGAGTGGTGGTGTTTGGCCTCTGGGGCAGCAGCAGCAGCATTTCTAGACTGAAAGATATCTATAGAACTTCTAGAATATCCAAATTCTTGTCTCACACCTGGGAGTACAAGAGTAGGGCAGAAGGAAACCCTTCTGTGTAAGTATGGTACTTAGGTAATTTCAGCTCTCCAGTTAAATATCCTACTCTGATGTTTGTTACCTTGAAACTTGCTGCCTCTTCTTCAGTGATTTGCTGCAAGAAGGTGGGCTGCCAACAGGAAACAGCACCTGACATCAGCGTGATGTCCTTTCTTGTCCCTCAGACATGGGAGCATGTTGACTTTTCTTGTTCTCCTGCCACTCCCTGTATACAGCAGCCTTTGCACTTCTGTCTCTCAAGCTGTGACTGGCTGGCTGCATCTTGGTACTGGCCGGGGGGGGGGTTGCATCTGCTCTGAGCACATTGTTCCACATCAGCTTTCCTAGTAGTGAACTTAAACATAGAAAATTGACTCTGTTGTTTCAGTCTTGTGCCTGTTGCATTGGTAGCTTCTCTTTTGATCCTTCTCCACAGTTTTACTAATGCACTTAGGCTTCAGCAATTAGATGTAAAAAAAAAAAAAATCAACTAGTGGCTGCATCAGGGAAAGAGGGAAAACTGCACTGCAGGCAGGAGCACGAGCTTCATTTCTGATGCTGAAGACCAGCATGCTCCCATATTATGGGAGCCTTTCTTTCTGACCCCACTTTCCACAACTAGGAGCTGTGGAGCTGACTTTCTTTGATCTATGCTTAGCTGTAGGATCATGCTGTCAAATCCAAAACAGGAAGTTCTGGTTTAGCATCTCATTGCTTTTGTTATGCTCAATCATCTCGTGCAGAGGAAACCAAAAGTTGCACTTGGCTGTGGCAAGGTTTTTTCCTGAGCCATCAAGACTAAAAGTCTTTCGTTTCATTTCTTGTCTTCTTTCTGTCTCTTGACTTTTTATTAGCAAATAGCTATTCTTTTATAACTGATCAGGAAATTAAGAAATGGGGAGAAAAAAACAAAACCATATTAAAAATGGGATTTTTCTTCCCTTTCAGACAAGGACTCAGAATTATTTTGTGGCAGTTCTTAATGCTTTGTTCTGCTCCAAGAAATAATGAGCTGATCTGTTGTTGAGTTTGTTTGTTTCTCTGGCATGCTGTGGTTTCTTTTGGTTTTCTTTTGCCTTGACCTGTGAGCTGGAGGCAGAGAGAAGAGGTCTTAAAGTGTCCCTGTGCACGCCTCTTCTCTCTTTTCATTCTTCTCCCTTTTTTCCCCCTTATTCCCACCCCAGTAAAAGCAGAGCCACAGCTCACATCACCCAGCTGTTCTCTGCTGTGAAAGCTGTGAAGAAAAAGCACCAGCCGGGGCACAGCTCCTCAGATTTTCATTCAAAGCTCTTTGGAGTTTGGAGAAACGTGTTTTGATGGCCTGAAGAATGTGGCTGAACACATTAACAGAGCTAAGCATGCGGCAGCTTGTATCTGGGAAGGTGTAAGCCACCTGGACTCAATTTAGAAAGCCTTGGTCATGGTTGCTTCTGAATGTTAAGTTTGAAGCTCAAATTACTTTTGACAAGGCTGGAAAAAACACCTTAAATCCTTAATTGCAGAATAAGTTGAAGTTGGAAGGACAAAGGAAATCATCCCTCAGTGTCTGTGGTTTGTGGTTTCCAGTGTTGTTTGGCCAGTTTGCATGGCAAAGGACTGCCACGAGCAGAGGAGACAGTGGAAGGCTTTGTTGGTAGGGAGCTAAAGTGCTTCAAGCTGCAGCTTCTTGCTGCTTGCAATGAAACCTTCTTTGCATGTGTTCTTCATCTAGCTTGTTTTTTTGTTTTGGTTTTTAATGTCTAACTGGCTTATTTTTGCTGTCACAACCAGCATTCAGAAACAGAGCACAACCAGCTGGACCTCGCTTTCTTTGCCTGTTGCTGTCAGCACACTCTTTTGTTTTGGCTTCCCACTCTCAGACCTCCAGAGATCCAGGGAAGGATTTTGGCTCATGCTAGCAGTACCTGCTCTCAGCCAGGCTGACCAACCAGCTTCAACCCTGTTGCCTCCTCTCCTGGAGGAAATAGGGCATCTGAAGGCTGTGTCACAGGTTGCTGGATGTGCCTGTGTTGTTTTCATTAGGCTTTCAACCGTGGTCTGAGATTCTGCACTTCTGTCATTTATGGACTGAATAATGTCATGCTTCCTGGTGAAAAATCTGATAAGCTGACAACCTCGGTATTGAAAGAATGCGTGTGTGTAGTTTGTAAAGCAGAGCTGCCTACAGAAAGGCAGCAATTTTCAGACGTAGACATAAATGGCCATTTTGATTACGGACCAGCTCACCAAATTAACTACTTAATTAACTGAATCAGTGTCAGTGTACGTGCTCCTCTGCACCAAGTCATACCAGCTTCCTCATTTACAGGTGCTGTGGTTTGTACGCATGCTGCCATCAGAAGCTGGCAGCTGGTTTTAGCACTTAATGAGTAAACCTCACTGCTGGTGGGTTCTCACATAGAGTTAGAAAACTTCCATGCAGCTGTGTGCTTTGCTGTTTGACATACCCTGTGACTATTCAGAACTTCTTGCTTGAAGTACATCTGAGTTATGGGTAATGAAACAGAACAGTTAATTCTGAGGATGGGGGCTTTCCTTTCTGGTTCTTTAAAGAAAAAGGCATCTCCATGCAGGAGTTCTTTGACGACAGTTACTGCGCTGCAGAGGGCACCATGCATTGCTTGCAGCTCCTGCAGGCAGCAAATTACAGCTGGTTCTGAGAGCAGGCTCCTTGTCTGCTAGCTGGGATGCTCTGTCCTGGCTCACTGAGTTTGTTCTCGCTGAGCTGGACCATTGAGTTGGGTTGCAAGAACTCAAGAGTAACAAGGGCTCCACCCCTTCTTGTGGGGCAGGAAATCACAGTGAAGCATCCCTTCAGCTGCATTTTGACAGGTGCTGAAGGCTGCAGCAAACAGGCAAGATGCATCTGATGTTTTTCCAAACCATGTGAGCCTCTGTTATCTGGCTTCATGTGGGGAAGTCCCTGTGAGTGGGAGGATGCGTGTCATTTAAGGAACTTGAAGTAACAACTTGTTACAGCTTTTTTTCTTATCGCAGCTTTGTCCTTGTTTAATCCCTTTTTAATCAAGCTAGTAGTAAAGAATAGCTCTGTATGCCAAAGAGAGGAGAGGTAGCTGAAGTGGAGGTGGAGAGCAAAGTCCGTTGTGAAGATTGGGTCTGCCTTGTCCAGCTGTTTTTCAACAGAAATGATTTTCTGTAGGTGTCGTAGCTTTTGTCTTAAAGGCAATACAAAACTCCCATCTGAGCCCTGCGTTGGCCATCTCTGTTGTTGGAAATTCCTTCAGCTGCGTTTGGAGTCAGCCTGGAAACATTTCAGTGATGACTGTTAAGGTCTGCTGTAAGGTGACTGTAAGGTGAACTGTAGCCTGTGGGGACAGCTTTGCAGGGGCTGTCTCTGAAAGCAGGATCTCACTGCATCCTGCGGCCTGCTCCCAAGCCTGAAGGTTAATGGACTCCCTTTCTGTGGTGTGCTGCAAGATGACTTTTAATCTTGTCTCCTCTTGCCCATGAGGTGCTTAGTGTCTGTCCACTTCCCCAAATAGAGCCATATGCATATATGTGTACACACACACACATCTGTAATTGGAGGACGTGGCACTTAACATCAGTGCCTTGGCTTCGTCCGTTCTGTCTCCTGTTTGCTGCCGGTATATTGTGAGTAGCCCCAGAAGTTTGGGATTTGGTCACTATCTAATTACTGCGTCTGCAGTAAAAAGAAGAGCAATTCTGTATCTGCCTGTGAAAGGGTGCTGGGATTTGATGGGATAGGATAGCTAGGGGAAGGCCGTGGAGCAGGGGGCCGAGGTGCTATTTGATGCAACAGCTCTGTGTGAAACAAATCTGCAGAGCATGCCTCGGGGCCGTGGTGTCTGATGAGAGACACCGGGCTGTACAGCAGATGACTCTCTTAGTGAGGCTGAGTCCTCTCATGGGTGAACTTACAGTTTCCAAATTTGGGCTTCGCCTGCCGGTTTTTACACTAGTCACTTTTTCCTTCAATGATGCAACTTGATCCTGGAGGAGGGAGAGAACTAATTTGGGTGATTTCAGCTCACTGTGCTGGGAGGGACCAAACTCAAGGAAACCTCTGATCTATATACACAACTGCTGCATTTTTTATAAATATATGTAAATGTCCTATTGTAATATTTGATCCTGGAAATAAAACAAACTGTTTTCACTAGCTTTCTTCATTTCCTGAGATTTTGTTCTGTTTGATTTCGAACTAGAGTCTGTCCCTGAGTTATATTGAGAGCTTTTGAGTTTTTCCTTTGTGTGGTAGAAGGAAAGGAAGAGAAGGACTTCCCTGTTTCTATGTATGTGACTGTTTAACCCGTTCATACTCCCCAAAAGGCTTTGGAATAGGGTAACTGTCAGTGCCATGCTGTAAGCCTTAAACCAGTGTTCCCTGTCACTCGTTTCCAGCATGCACTCGAGAGAAGTGTGAATGTGTTTGGCTTGGCGTGTCCAAACCCAAAGCTTTCTCAGGAGTGAGGATGCTCTTTGGGAAGATACCAGCATGTGAAGGATGTGCTAGTCAGCTCTCCAGGGCGGTGTTGGAAGAGATCTAGTCTTCAGTTTTCAGCATGTGCTCCTCTCCTTGCTGTGGTAAAGAAGGAGCCAAGTCCAGTGTCTGAGGGAGGCTTGCTTGTGCACTCCTACTGAGCTCTTCAATCCAGCTTAAGAAAACCTTTCCCATTCTGACCAAGTTGAAAAGAGGATTTTATCACAGGCAGGGAGCTGTGGGGTAGATCCATAGGGTGTATGTCACTTTTTTTTTTCTTCATGTGTTTTTTCTTTCAGCAGATCCGACTTTCAACCTGCTGACTTTTATGGGATTGGTTCACCTCATCTGGAGCAGTAATTTTATGAAATACCTGAGCAAGTTAAAGCAAATGCCGTATTTTCCAGGTGCAGCACGTTGGTGTTTCTTCAGTCTGGATTCTAACCCCAAATTCAGCACGGGTCAAAGGAGGTCACCTTGGCAGTGAACCACCTGTAGGTCAGTTTTAGTGGTGGAAACCGAGTTATGGATGCTACCAGGAGGAGCGGGAGAGACACCGAGTTGTGCTGAGCACAACTGGACATGAATGTGGTGGCCGAAACCTGGGCTGCAGAGAGCATCAAGTGTGGTGGGATAAAACAACCTGAACAGCTCAGATAAGTGTTGGTGAGCATCCTTACGGCTGTGACCTGCTGTCAGGGGAGGAGTTGGCTTGGGTATCTCAGTGGGGCAGTATGGCTATTCATGGAGCTGCACTTGGCAGCAGCTTGGCTGGGTGACTTGGCAGAAAGTTATCTGACTAATTGCTGCACTTACACTTTCATAATCGCGTTCTTAAGCCAAGCAGGGAGTCATGGTGCTCGTGAGCTGCTCCATTCTGTGCTAAAATTAGCTCCTTTTTTAATTATTATTAGAGAACTGAGCTGGGGTGGCTGTAAGGATCAGCATTGTTGGGATACAGATCCGGCTGACGTCTCATGGGGTGCGGCTGTGAGGGAAGCTTGTTGCTGTGACGTACAGGACATGAGATAAAATTGCAACACGTTTTCTTCCTGTAAAGTGGAAAATGCTTCCTCTCATTGTAAAAAGTAGAGAAAGGAGAAATGGAATTATTCCCTGCTGTCAGGAATCCTACGTGAGAATGCTTGCTCCTTGCTGCCGTGTGGAGCCTGAGGGCCACAGCTCCTTTTTCTATTTCTCTGGTGGCACAGTGTGCTTCAGGCAGGTTTTGTCATCTCAGTGTCCCTGTCCAGGTTGGTCTGAAAGCAGAAAAAGCTGTTTTGAACCAAGTTGGGCAATACCACTTGCACACATTACTCTAGGTAGAACAAGTTGGGCTGTATACCATGTATAATATCTTGGAGCAGGTACCTGTGGCACTTCCAAATGTTGTTCTATCCAGAAATAACCTCTGCATTAATGGCAGCAGCCAGCTGAGGTCTTGGGAGTGATCTTCTGCTCTGAAACACTGTGTGAGATACAGCCGCATCTGCTGCAGCCTCTGACAGTGTGATGAGGATGAGTCAGCACCATCTTGCTTAAAAATGAATCCCCGCGTGCAGCAAGGCACCATTGCATTGTGCATCCACCATATCCACGTGGTGTGGGCTGAGGTGAGCAGCCAGGCCCTGCGGGAGCACCCTGCAGCTGAGCAATGCATTGCTGCCATTCCTCTACCAGCTAGAGGACCTACGCAGGATTCCTCTCTGTGCTGGACTTGTGGCAGCAAGAATTGATGTCTTTTCTCGCAATTTGCATGGCTGGTGGGTCTCCCCCTGCCCAGGGAGCTGTGCAGCTCCTCCTGTTTTCATTTGCTTTCTGGATCTGCTTCCCTTGAGACAGTTTCGTTGTAAAGGAAACGGTGGTGCCGCTGGTGGGGGCTGCCCCGTGCGGAGGGACAGTCATGCTTCCTCATGAGCTGCTGGTTTTGTGGATGATGGTGACATGACTGATGCAGTGGGTGGATGTCTGGGATGGGCATCATAAATAGGACCCGTGGGAGATGCCTCTCAGTGTTCTTCCAGGACAGAGGTACTCCAGGGAAGGGTGAGAAGCTCTGGTTTCACGCAGCCAGTATCTCCCACGTTTGCTCCCAGGTAAGCCTGGAGGAAGGAGAATGGTTTCTCCAGATATTGCTTGAATCCTTTTTGCTTCAGGCCATGGACTGATTTCATTTCTGTCATTTCTGTGCTGAACGAGGGAGGAGATTCCCCCAGGGAGAGGGGGAGAGGGAGAAGTCCCTGCTGAGGCCAAAGGGGGACCTGCAGCAGGCCTGAGGTTGGAGCAGCCCCCTGGGTGAGCTCCAGGGAAGGAGGAGCTCTTCTGGAAGGTCTACAGAGGGGTAAAGGACTCAGTGCTGGGTCCTCCTGACTCTAGGTGAACAACAGGAAGGATGAGAGGTCTTGGGTTTGTTACAAAAGTGGGAATGATGGAAATCAGAAAGGAGATAGCGCTGCCTCGGATGGGTGGGTAGCAGAGCTGGCAGTCCGCCTTGGAGCTCCCAGCTAACAACAGCAGCAGTGCCCTGACATTGGGTTGGCAACCCCAATTCCTCCACAGGAGCAGGGCTGTGATGCAGCTCTTCCCATGGAAACAACCACGCAGCACCCCATGGGTTCTGCTTCTGCAAAGCCAGAGCCGCCGCCTCCTCTCTTTTCCATGCAGGTTGGTAATGTGTGTAGGGAGATGCAGCCGCATCGTGGGCCCCTGCTTGCTGGTGCTGGGCATGCTCTCCGTGGTGGCCAGCATCCTGCTGCTCTTCCCTGGCGGGTCCTGGCAGTACCTGGTGGATGGGCACATCAGCAGGAGGGCAAAGATCATGCCAGGTACCTGGGGAGGCGGCATCATGGTAAGCGCCGTGTCTTGCGTGGCCTCCTCCAACATGCACTGAGCAAGGACAAAGAGCAGGATTGGGCGTCCTGCTTTTGTTCCCCTTTGTCCCCACAGGCCACTTTCTCCTTCCTGCAGGTGCTGCTGGCAGCTATCCACATCACCGCTGTGGGATGGCGATGCGCCTGCTGCTCCGACTGCGGCACCCGTCGGAACGTAAGTCAGGGTGGAGGTTGTACCTCCAGTACAGTGTGGGGTGGGACATGGTGACGTGTCCCCTCTCCTGTGGGTGTGTGGTGGGGCATTGTAGGGTGCCTCCTCTCCCTTGGTGGGACGTTGTATGGTGCCACCTCCGTTGTGGCCCCGTGGCAGGACATTGCACAGTGTCCTCTCCACTGTCCTGTGGGGGGACATCTCACAGTGTCCCCTCTCCCGTGGCCATGTTGTGGGATACGGCACAGTAACCTCATGGTGGGATGTCTGTGGAAGGCCACCTCTCGTGGGCACGTGGTGAGACATCTGTGGTGTCACCAGTCACGTGGTGGGACAATGCACGGTGCCACCTATCCTCTGGCTCCACGGTGGAGCACTGCACAATGTTCCCTCAACCCTGGCCCTGCAGCGAGATGCTGTGCGATGCCCAGCCCCCTGAATGAGGGTCAGGGCAGAGCGCGGACTCCTCCTGCCTGCCCACTTCTGCCCATCTCTAAACCTCATGCTCCCTGTAGGCCTTCCTCTCTGTTGTCCTCTCCAAGCTGGCTCTCCTGGGCTCTGCCGCCTGCTTCTTCTTCTCGGGGCTGGGTCTGACTGACGGCCCTCTCTGCCTCTACAACACCACTGAGCTCAGCAATGGCCTTATCTGGGACTACCCCTTCGTGGACACCCCTAGCAACAGGTACAGGGCCTTCATGCTGTTGGCAGGAAAGTAGGACCACAGAGGGGAAGGCTGCATGTGGCTTATGCTGTCCCTCATGCGGTACAGGGCCTTGGAGAATTTCTACCTGTTCTACCCGAGCACCTGGGGCACCTGCCTGGAGCCGGTGGGCATCGTGGCATGGCACGTCACCTTCTTCTCCCTCCTGCTGCTCATAAGTGCTGCCGAGATGGTGCTAACCTTCCTCCAGATCATCAACGGCTGCGCCGGGTGCCTCTGCGGCTTCTGTGAGAGGAAGGAGGCAGGGCTCTCCCATGTGCCTGGGGTGAGGTGAGACCATGTTTCCCAGCTGTGGCCTCTGGGGAGACCACTCCTGCTCACTCCATGTCTTCCATTCCGCGACACACCTGAGCCACGTATGTAAATAAAAGCCTGATTTATTTTTGTTAATCTGTTTTGTGGTGGTGGTGCCTCCTGTGTGGGGCAGCTCAGACTCCCAGCTTGGTCGGGGCTGGGGCTGTGGATGGAGGCGGTGCTGGAAATGGGGTGCAGGTCCCTCAGAATTCACACTCATGCGTATACATCCACACACACAGCCAACGTCAGGCTGGTGCCACTCAATGTGTATTTCGTAGGGTCGTTAAGGTTGGAAAAGACCTCCAAACACAACCCATCCCACTGTTCCCACTGGCCATGCCCCTCAGGACGACATCTGGATGGTTCTTGATTCCACAGATATTTGGTTGTGTGTGTTTGAGAAAGCAATTAGCTGCTTCTTTAATTCACGTGAATATGGCTTTTGGGGTGCTGTGGATCTGGGTGTGAAGCTTACCCACTGGCAGGGTTTTTTGGGGGCAGGTGAGATAGCATCTCCAGCACAGGTGTGAAGCTGGAAGCGGCAGGGGAGTGGCATTAGGAATCAGTTATTTATTCAGAAGGATTTTAGATGGAGGAAGGGTGGTAGGACAGAGGGACGTTGGCTGAGAACTGGGATGACACGGTCGTATCAGCATGAACTTTTAAGCCCAACCACCATATACTTAAAAATCAGCAATAAAAATGAGATAAAACCCTGTTTTGGGGCAGCAGCCCTCAGCACGGTCCAGCTCCCAGCATCCCAACATCAGCACTGCTCACAGTGCCACAGGGCTCATGCCAGGCTGTCCCCAGGTGCCACTAGCTCCAGCCTGGCCACCGGTGGCAGCCGGCCCCATCTGCCCATGGCTGTCCCCTGCCAGGGGACGCTGGGGCAGCTCTAGCAGACACAACAGCTCCTTCGCCTTCGCTTCCTGTGGGGCACTGCAGCCGTCAGGGGGATGTTCTGGAGCACGTCGTGCAGCGTGAACATGCTGAAGGAGATCTGCTCATAGGGCGAGCGCTTCCCATTCTCGTACAGACAGGCAAAAGCAATGGCCGGGCCACCAGAGACGGGAAACTGGCTGTGGGGCAGCTCCATGTAAGCCAGGTCTGAGTAAGCGCTCGGGCCCTCGTAGATGACCCAGGGCTCAGTCCAGCTGTCTGCATCCCTGGGGAAGGTGCTGAGGTGAACCCCCATGTTGACCCGCGACATGGAGCTGGTGGGGTGTGAGTAGAGCACCCATGTCGGCGCTTGAAAGAAGGGCCCAGAAGTGCCTTGGGGATCCCCTTGGAATGAGGAGCAGCTGCGAGGTCCTGTTGAAGTCCTGCTGCCAGCAACCGTGGCAGGGAGTGCCTGCAGAGCTGAGCGGGGCTGAGGGCCGTACACCAAAGGTGCGGGGAAGCCGATGATGCTGCCGTGGCAGCCGTGTGGGGGCTCGACCAGCCGTGGGACCAGCTGCCCCCCATGGAAAACAGCCCCGTCATCAGTGCTCAGTGCCTGGACACGGAAGCCCAGGGAGCTGCGGGCGTTGCAGTAGAGGACGTTGGAGCCATCCTCCTCATCCACCGAGACCAGCTGGCACTCTCCTGTCTGCAGGTTGGGGATGAACTCCCCAAAACGCCATCCCTGGCCATGGTCGTCACTGTAGAAGGCGAAAGAGTGCGGGGTGGTCTTGCAGAGCTGCCCGAAGCACTCCTTGCAGTCGATGTGGTAGCTGTAGGCGGGCACCAGCAGCCGGCCGGAGCGCAGCTGGATCCCATGCCCTGGGCCCAGCGCGAAGGTGGCCCACTCTGGGGACAGGGGGACAAGCGTTACCAGTGGTCCCCTCCATCACGAGCCACATTTCTGCCCTCAGACCCTCACTGGACCCCAGCCACGCAACATGGGGCTGCAGGCTGAGGCCTTTGCTAGCCACTGCACTGGCCCTCCCACTGCCCTGCATGGCCACGCTGCTACCTTTGATGGCCCTGCCGATGACCTGCTGCGTCAGGTCAGTGGCTTTGCTCCAGCTCAGGCCCTGATCGGCGCTGGTGACGCAGCAGAGGCGAGTGACATTCTGCCCAGTGACAATCTGGAAGGCTTCGGGTGTCCTGCCCAGCACCGTGATGAAGAAGAGGAAGAGGGTGCCGGTGAACTCATCATAGAGCGGGCAGGGGTTCATCGAGCGGTGGTGCTGCAGTGCTGCTGTCTCCAGCACCCGCATGTCTTCCCACTGCTTGGAGAGGGAGTAGTGAGCCCCCAGGACCCTTGGGCCATTCTCCCTCCCCGTGGACCCCGTCCCACCTCCACGTAGCTGCCATAGACGGTGCCACGGCGCAGCACCAGCAGGTTGGCGTGGGCATCATCGGCGCTCAGCCGCTCCTCGGCAAAGGCCAGCAGCTTGGCCACGCAGGGCAGGTAGAGCAGGGCTGGCACGCGGTATGTGACACCAGTGGACTCCTTCTCAAAGAGCACAGTCCGGGCAGGGAAGTGCCGGGAGCCCATGGTTCCTGCAGGAAAGAGAGGGCAGCCCCCACCGAGGTGGGGAGTGGGGAGATGCGGTGCTGCCGAAAGAGAAGACAAGGCTGCTCTCCATGCTGCTGGTTGCAACGGGGTTCTGCAAACCCAGGCTGGCCAGGGCTGGAATGGGAAATGGAGGGGGCAGAGCTGTCCCCACACACGTCCTGTGAGCTGAGTGATGGGATCCCATCAGCTCCTCCCTCTGCTGCGTTCCCACCAAAGGCCCAGGGGTGCTGCCTGCCCTGTGCTGTTGGCTGGGGCACTCACCTGCATTCTGTGTAGCAGCTTTGCCCAACGCCCTGCAGATAAAGCTCAGGCACTCACCCGATCCTGTGCAGCGCAGCTCTGTCCCCTGCTGCCGGCTGTGTCTCCCCTTGCGTTGTCCCCCACAGATGGGTCACGGGGCCCAGCAAAAAGCCCTGAGTCAGCAGCAGCACAAAGGCACCATTATCAGGCAGCAGAGCCTGGGCCCCTCGCTGTGTGTCTGGGCTCAGGGCTGGGGGGTGGAGGATGCCAAGAGGATGTGCCTCCTGGCTCCATTTCCCTCCTGCCACCCGGGGGGTGGTGTTGGAGCCTCTGGATTCACCATAGCCATGCACTGCCACCCCCTCTGCTGCTTGCTCTGCCCCAGGGAGCTGCTCCAGCTGCCAAAATGGCCCATTGTGGCCCCCCTCACCACCAGGCAGCTCAATACCTTGAACACCTATGTGAAGCAGTGTGGAACAAATTGCACATTAGCAAGTTGTGCCACAGCTGTCCTAAAAACTTCCCACACACATCCCTTACCGCTGACCTGCATGGGAGGGAGGGCAACCTGGTTAAACCTGAAATCCTGCACCATATGTGGAAGCAGGCATTGTAGAAGCTGGCAATGGGCTCTAGAAACCCAAGCCCAGCTGTGGTGTGATGGCGCTGCTCTGCTCCCTGTGAATTGGCCACGTGCAGAAGTCCCAGGAGTTTGATTCATTCTCTCCATCACAGTGGATGTGATGTGGAAGTGCCTCCCTGGAGCCCTCTCCTAATTGGTGATTGAGAGTTTGGCCATGGGAGCAACAGAACGTGGCAAAGCCTCTGCTGATGCTAAAACACCGATGCTGCCAGCCTGGAACACTCATTCCCCTCCTGTGCTCCTGTGCCTTCCACTGCTGCATTCCCTTTGTGCACTCCTGTCCTCATTCCCTTCACTCCTTTTATTTTGGGTTCCTAAAAGCAGGAAACCAGGACTTGCTCTAGTGAGATTTAACCAGCTGTTAAAGTAACGACCTCCATTAAGAAAGGTCAAATGCAAATCAAACGATTGAACTCATGATTAATGTTTAAGTGGAAAGAAAGCCTAGCCCAGCCCAAGAGCCTACCAGTGCCCAGCAGCACCAGGCTGTCCCCTGCATGTGACAGCAGCGTCATGGACTCGAGCATTACCCAGCTAAGGCTGTGCCCTTGCCTGGAGGCCTTCTGCTACAGTCTCAGCAAATCTGGAAGGTCCAGGTACATGGTGGCTGCAACCTCAGTACCAAGAAGAGGCCGTGCCCCTCAGAAGGTCTGGCATCCACATAATGAAAAAGGCGGTAAATATAAAGAAATAAAAGATCACTTTTTTTTTTTTTTTTTTTTTTTTTTTCCCACAGAATGAATGACAGAGGGTGGAAGTAGCTCTCAAATGACCCCCAGCCTCCCCATCCTGTGCAAGAGTCTCATCGCCAAACTCGGCCAGTGCAAAAGGCTGCAGCAGTGGGATGCTGCAAAGTAGGGGATTACGTCTTCTGAGAACTGCTCCACTGCTTGGGAAAGTTTATGGGCTTCCCCTGGTTGTGTGGGTACTGGAGGGAGTAGAGGTAGGACATGTACTGGAGCTCTGGTGCAACCATTTTCTGGCAGTTTTTCAGGGTGTCGTTGTCTAAGTCTTGCCTGAGGTTATAACCAAGGATATTTGCCGCCCCCGGCTGGAAAGGCAATAGAGCCTTGTCCTTGATGTGATCCTTCGCCACAGCCTCCTGGTTCAAGAGGCAGGTCTCCATGAGCTCCTTCTGCCTCATTCGCAGGTCATTTACCTCCTTCTTCAGCTCCTCAAATCCTATGGTCTCCTCAATCCTCCTCCAGAAGCTCTGGTTGAAGTGCAGGTAGAGCTTCCAGTCCAGCGAGCACCACTTTTTTACTCTCTCCTTGCTTTCTGGAGTCAGGGTCTGGACAGTCTCGTTGCTCCTGGAATTGAGTTTGAAGTAAATCACATCATCTAAATCCCAGCACAAGGTGCGTTTCAGGAGGATCATGGACTCATCAAAGTAGTCTGCTATCAAGATCAGGTGGAAGTTCTCTTCAGTCTCATCCAAGATGGACTGAATATACTCTTCATTGTCCTCTGCATTGTTGTCATAGCCAAAGTCAAACCACATGTTATTCTTGGCATAGATGTTACTCATGTAGTCCTCCTTAAGGTAATATTTCAGGGGTGATGCCAGGTATTCATTCACGTCCTTGGATCTCCTGAATGCAGGGGCTGTGTTCTTGTAGTAGACAGAGGAAGATTCCAGCAGAGCAATGGGGTTCCTCAGGATGGAGAAATAGAAGGTGTTCTTTGCCATCACCTTGTGCACCTGTGCGTGAGGGGGGAAGAAGAAGGCTGTTAGGACAGATTAGATTCTCACGTGCCCACATTTTGAGCATGTCCAGGTCCACCACTCAGCTCGGTGTCACCAACAAACTTGCTGACCTGTCCATGTCATTGATAACGATGTGGAAGAGCACTGCTGACCCCAGGGACACCACTCATGACCGTCCTCCATCTGGACATAGAGCCATTGACAACAACCCCCTGGCTACCACCATCCCCTCAATTCCTAATCCACCAAGTAGTGCAGCTTTCAAATCCATATGCATCTAATTTAGAGGTAAGGATGTGGTGAAAGGCCATGCCAAAGGCCTTGCACAAACCCAGGGAGGTGGCATCCTTCAGTTTCTCCACGTGTGCCAGGGCTCTTACCTCAGAGGGGTTGAAGCGCAGGTGGTTGCACATGATGTTGTAGTTTTGCTTTCGGGTTTGAAAACCCTCCACAAAATTGGTGATGAATCTCTGTGGGTAACCCAGGTGGAACTCCTGGCCAGCAGGGAGGGCAGCTGTGAGTTTGTGCTTCTCAGTGAAGCGGAACAGGATGTTGAGGATGGTGCTGCTGGCAGTCTTGTGGGTCTTGAGGAACATGATGTTGGTCTTGGCTTGGCAGGGCGTGGGGGACGCCAGCAGCTCTGCAGAACTCTTCTGGAATCTGCAGGAAGGCAACACATGGGGAAAACAGCCCTTCCAGAGCCATACCCCATCTCTTAAGCTGGCAGCGTCAGCTTAAATCGAGGGATCTAACTCAAGTGTCACAGGTTAGCTCCTCGCTGCACTGTGTGCATCAAGTCAAGCAAATGGCTGCTCTTGCTGTGATAAGACTTACAGGTGGTTCCTGCTACTTGCATGGAAGAATCCCAAGAGGAAGGCAAGTCCCAGGAACAAGTTGACAAAGAGGAGATTTTTGATAGTCCTGGAAAGAGAGCAGAATTTCAGTGGATGTTATCTAGAAGGCCATCTTGCCCCAAATGTGAACCACCAAACTGCTGCTCTCATGACTTCTGTCACTGGGGCCATGATTTCCACATGCCAGGCACCAGCTGTGCCAGCAGCTCTGGGATATGAGGCAGGACAGACAGGCCCAGTGTGTTTTCACAACCTCCCGATGGCTCTCACGAGCAAAGACGACATAGACAGATAAGATAACAGCAAACTGGAGAGAGCAAAGTCCAACATAAAACTGGGAGCTGCGCACAGAGATACGACAGTCAAAACTGATGTCTAACAACGTGCTGTAAAATGAACAAGAGCCCAAGAATTTTGGGTGCAGGGTGTGGTGCCGCAGTGCAATAGGTGGCAGTGCTGCAGAAAGAGGGCCGACCTTGCTCTGAGCTTTGCATTGCGTGAGTGCACTCTCCCCGCTGTGACAGCAGCAGAGCCCTTCCCAAAGCCTGGGAAGCACCAAGCTGTGGTGGGAAATGGCAGCACAACTTCTTCATGAGGAATGCCAAGACGTAGATGGGTCTCAGATTGGGTATTAGAGAACGTTTCTTGTCGGAAAGAGCAGTGATGCACTGCACAGCTGCACAGGGTTGTGTCACCATCCTTGAGGTGTTCGGAGCCATGGAGATGTGGCACTGAGGGATGTGGGCAGTGGGCATGGTGGGGTGGGCTGGGGTTGGACTTGGGGATCTGAGGGGTCTTTTCCAACCTGAATGATTCTATGACTTCATCAGTATTTCTTTACTTTTTGTTCCCAGGGGACAGAAACCCTTTTCCTTTGAGTGCTTTATGGGTAGAATTGAGACCTGGGAGAATCATAGAAGGACCAGTGGCTTGCATCTGCTGAACACACCCTGACCCCTTGTCTTGTTCCTCAGCCTTTCACTTAAGGCGAAGCTGATGCTGCTGTGGTGGTATCCCAGGGTCTGCCTTTCTACCTGCATGGTGGTACTTGCTAAGCCAGTCTGCCTGTGTCCTTTTTCTGCACCTTTTCTGCAGAATTCAATGTGTGAGATAAGGTTCCATGTTTGCTCAGGTGTTGTCTGCAAAGTGAAAAGCAGGAGGATTGCACTCAGATGGTTTGTTGGGGCAAATGAGTCAATGTTTGCCTAAAGCATCCTGAGTGTAAGCCATGTGCAAGGTCACCACCCCTATGAAACGAGAAGGAAAGCTGAATTGCCTCTTTACAACCAACATCCCCAAGCAGAAATGATGGGCTAATTGTCCCCCGGTGGCACTGACCCCCACTTCACTGCCTGGTGAATACATGGATGGCAGGACAGCTGTCTTCAGCTCTTCCAAAGGGGCTGAAAGGACAATGGGACCCTGGAGGGACAGGCTCTGGTAACCTGCTTGCTAATAGGGGAAGGAGCAGCCACTGCCCTGAGCACAACATGCACAGGACTTGGTCAGGAAACTGGAATTCTCCAGCCAAGTG